ATTGATCAATTATCCGGCTCTCATCAGTGGCAACCATCTGCATCACCAACATATCTGTGAGGTGGTTGAGGGTGCCTTGCATACCTATCATTGCAACAGCATTTGTGGGCTTGATGACTTTCATTCCACCACCACTAGCATCAGGTTGAGCTTTAGTGTGCACAACACCACCACAGCTGGAGATCTTAGTGCCATGAATTCCTAATATGAACCATTTTTCATTTCTTGGCTTTCCTTTGGCTACTTCCCCAGTCACATGACTCCATACCCTTTCACACTTTCACACCATCATAATGTCACTTCTTCACTTCTTCACATTTCACCTGTCACATCTCTGATTGGCTCCCCTACTCCATGGGCTAGAACTATCTCTCTTCCTATCACTTAATGTCCATCTCTGACATCATCGCTTATATATCACTATGTCATCCACAGTTATTGTATGACTCTTTTCTTATTGGCTGATTTCTTTCATACTCAGATATCTCTGACTCAATGTTATGTATATAGTTAGGGTAGTCATAGTCAGTACTTCTTAGACTTAACCTCTTTGTTCCTACACTTGTAGAACCTAGATGTTCCCAAACTCTCAAACCTATTCTTTAATCATCTACAACTGAGTCCTAGTGTGTGTGTCAAACCTTTGCCATTCGGTGAACATTGGTCATAACACTTGGTTTTCTTGGAGTCTGACTCTCGCTGTAATACTGATGTAAATGTTGTGGAAGGAGGAGATATGAGAGATTGTGCATCCATGCCAGTTATGTCCAAATGTGTTCATTTCCTGATGCTTGATGTCTTAGTGGAATGATGAGGGGAAGAAAGAGGAGCAGCAGCAAGTTGTGAACTTCTGGCAATAGGTCCAAGGTCATCATGTGGCACATGCCCCCAACTAAATTCATTAGCCTTAACCTCACCCATGTGAACATCCTCTGTGGGTCCAACAACAACATTGGCACCTATGGGAGCTGCAGAAGCCTGATCAGATGAGTTGTTCACAATGGCAGGTGCAGCAGCCCTAGATGGGCGATAGGCAGCATGACCTTGAGTGCCACTGCCACTTGGCAGAATGTCTTGCATTTGTGCATACAAGTGCCATCCAGTGTTGCAGTAAGAGTGTATGACATGGTTGGCCTACAGTGACTCAAGCATGAGCAACAGCTGTAGATACTGATGCTGACTGACCTTCTTCTTCTTCATATATGTATCCCACACATTGCTTGCAGCTTGCCCCTTGACACTAGCTCTGATCTGATCATCCCGGTGAGTGCCAGATGTGTTGAGGTGATAGTTCTCAATGATGTGGAAAATATTTTTAACTAGAGATTTCAAGATTGGTAGCTGTTAGATAGATAGATCAATAACATACTGATTGTCATTTGTTCTTATAGTAGGCCGTAACCTTTGTCAGGCCAAGGGTCTTGTGTTCTGCAATGGTAGCTGCAGCATTGGTGTAAACCTGTGATGTGAAACTCCTACTGTCTGCTATTTTTGAACATTGTGAATGAAGGTATGTAACGAGGGCATCTGTCTCTGCATCATTCCAAATTGCCTTTGCAGTCTTCTTGGGGTTTAGCTCTTCAGACATGAGAAGTACTTGATGGTGAGCAGAGATAATAATTCCAATTATGATTGGGATTATCTGCCTGTGCTGCTCCTGCAGATTGAGGATATCAGGGGCATACTGCTGAAATGAGGTCATTGCAGGAGGTAAGGAAGGTTAAAACTCCATCTCAGCTTGCATCAAGCCAATACATCTCAAGTTGGCCACAATGGCCAAACTTTGGTCACCATACTAGCTCTTAAGATGTTCATAATATTATATCTTGAGAATTGGTATATTTGACAATCTGAAGCAGGAAAAAGAAAGACACTTTAGTGGAATAATAAGGATAATCTAGTAGATATTATATATCTTGGTGAGCCCATGAGGTCTCAAGTTCAATCCCTTATATTGACAGTTAAAAGTGTCAAAAATGCGAATGTGTTTTGTTATATTTACGAGATGAAGCTATGTCACTGTAGCTCTGTATAGCTCTGCACAGAACTAAGTAATTTACTAATAAAGTGTAGTATAAATATTGGATGGTAGAATACATTAGTAGTCAGTCCAGATAATATGAATTACCCTTCCTCTAAATCTCACTTGTTACTAGTCTTATAACCACAGGTTATGAGCCCTGCCACATTGACCATGGACATAACACTCCCCAGCACATTGTCTCTATACAATATCCAACAACTTGCTGAAGATGGATCATGTACAAGCAACAGGCACAGACCATGATCCATGCATGAGGTCTGATGTGTTATCTTGATAGACAAACAAAGGAACCCATTCCCTTTGACATAGACTCAAATGGGCAGTCAATCAAACCTGATAAATATGTAGCTACATAGAGCAAAATTGAAGACTTAGAGAAGAAGATCAATGAGTTTCAACAAAAGGACTCACTCATCAAGCAGCATATGTTCAGTACTGGTCTCGGACCTAACTACTATTGCGCATCCAAGGACTGGACAATGCCTCAAAGATGTGGGCAGAGATATGTGCCATTGTGATAACTCTTTGACAATAATAGTCTCAAAGTGATCAGACCAGGACTCAAACAACAAACAAAAGAATAATGGAGAAGAGTCACAATGTAGCCATCTAGACAAGTGTCTTAGAGGGGTTCAGTTTAGAGTCTTATGAAAGGGACGTGAGCGATGGATGTCAAGTAGATTCTCTATGGAAGGTACAAGAGGTTTAGACTAAGGAACTACTGACTACCATCTAGAGTTTATATACTATGAAAACAGTGCACAGACCAAGACAGAAAGGTAACTAACTGGATAGGAAGGCTAGAGAAGTTTCAGGTATAAGGGTTCAGATCATGAGTTCTGATTAAGAGATATGAATCTGAGAATGGAAAAGAAGAGACAGAGATTAAATAGAAGATCTATCTGAGACCTTTAGATAGAGATCCAAGGTCCAATGGGAGGAAAGATCAATTGTTGCTTTGATCAGAGATGATATCGGCGATGTGAAGGGAGAGATACGGGCATAGGGTATGGGTGACTTTGTGACAGGAGGACATTATGAAGTGTGATAGATGTGACAAGCATAAAGAGGTGAAGTGGTCACATGACTCAGGCGCTTAGACTTAAACATTACATTGAGGTAGGAAAAATGATTTGTTTGGGGAACTTGTGACAACCATACATGGAGGCAAAATGGAAATGGTGCAAATAGATTTGTGCCAAAAGCTGCAAGAAACATGTTGTGATAAAGGAGTAGATATACAAATGCACTTTGGGGACCTGTTAAGGATCTGAGAGTTGTTAGCAGAAATGAGAGCAAACATAGATGAAATAGATTTCTATGTGATCATCATGGGATCATTACCTGAAATCCTATAGGCCATTATTATCATTCATCAATGCTGCTGCACACATCACCAAGCAACTACTTACCCCACATGAATTAATCAATGTCATCATCGAAGAATATGAACATCAACAGATAGCAAATCCTAAAGCCTTGAAGAAGGGAGGGAACAGCGTGTTCTTGACCAAGACAAATGGGAAGAAGGATTGAACAATGAATAGCAAGGATAAAGACATCACTTGCTATAATTGCAATTGTAAGGTCATTATAAGGCTGACTGTTGGAGACCTAGAGGAGAAAAGGAAGGTCAGGAACCATATCAAGGACAGCAGAAAGGAGGAAACATGAACCAAGCTACAAATGTGACAGAGAACAAGGACAACTACACATTTGCATGGTCAGATCTTACAGACATTGTGAAAAAATTGAACATACCCAGTGATCACTGGCTATGCTTGCTTGGTTCATAAAATTCATGTTCCAAAGTTGAGTTGACTACCCCTATCATGCTGCCTCCTATCAAGATTGATTTTTTGGCTTTCATATTACTTACCAGGGTTCAAGTAGGACTTGTTCCCAAGTTATTGGGCCCTCTGAACATACTGGTAACACTCATTTGGTGTGTAAGGATCATGTTTCAAAGTTGATCATCTCTATTATGCTGCCTCCTCTCAAGATTGATTTTTCTGGCCTCCATATTACTTGCCAGGGTTTACTGTCATTGATAGTGAATGCACATAAAGGCAAGAAACCATTGATCAAGGTAATGGTAGGAAAGACAGCAAAATTAGTCAAGGGAAATATATAAACTTTGCATCAATTTCAACCTTCATATGACTTGCCTGGGTTCATCTTGGACTTGTTCTTGAGGTTCTCAAGCCCTCTGAATGTGGTGACAATGCTCATTTGATCCAGAAAAATCATGTTCCAAAGTTATGGGCCCCCTTATCATTTACCAGATCTAACTACATCTGACATCATTCACCAATATCTGACATCACTTGTAGCAGTCTGCTCAACCCTACTATGTCCTGCCTTCCCCCATCCTCACTCTGACTCCTCTCCTCTGCTCCACCTGTATCTGCTTCTGTTTCCTTTAGTCTGCTCAATTGTATCAACTGACTAGCACCCCCACTCAGCTGCCTCAGTCAGTTACCTCCCTGTATAGGATCCATTCAACTGGATCCTTTCCCCATTTAGGTATATAGATCCCTTTTTGGTACATAGCCATCCTTATCAGATCACTAGTTATTCCTTTAGCCATCTGATTATTGATCTATGTTGTACATACTAATATCTGCCCCTGACTCATATGTTTTCTTCTGTAATCATACTTACAATCTATACACTCAGCACATAGCCTTCTGCTATGATTACTAATCACTGCTATCTTACCTAGAGTATATAAAACACTCTGTACTTAGTCTGTAGTCTTCAGTCTTAATATTACTTTGTCTCTACCAGTTTCTACTGTGTGGTTTCTTTGCAGAACTCAGCTCATCTCCAGACTAGTGATGCCGAAGTCCTAGTTCCAGTCCAGTTTCTTCAAGTTTTTTCTGAACCGTGAATGGGACCAAGGTTAGGTTCTATTTGAGGTGGTGAACACCAGACTGAACAGTTATGAATGCGTTTAGGGGGTCAGGTTCACATTCTGAACACGTTCGAACTACTGAACATGAATTTATACCAAGTATTTTCAACTACACCATGTCATACAATGAAACACTACTCAATAATAATGGGAGATACAGAACGAGGAACAGCAAGTTGAGCTTGGTCTGTAGCAGAGATATGTCCCTAATGATAGGCACTCTTCAAAATCTGCAATGCTTTGAATGATTCAGGAAGCAAGTGGTTATGACGTGCAGTACCTATGATGCCACCACTCAAAAATGCTCATTCAGAAGCCACCGCTGAGCCTTGAATTGCAAGATAATCCTTTGCAATACATGCAAGTGTTGGGTACTGGACTGCATGATGCTAGAATATATCAAGCTGCCATTTAAACTCAATAATTGAGAAGAACAGTGAATGACGACTCACACCCCACCATCCAATGACATCTTCAACATCTTCAAGGGGTGCATGTAGATAGTCTTGAAGTTCTTGACGTGGGTTGTGATGGACTGCATCACTTGCAAGACGTGATTTCACTGTGTTACGCATCCAGGCATGTCCGTAGGTGCCTTGACGTGCAGATGGAACTAAGAAGTAAAATGTCAGCAAGAGATTGCACATGTAGAATGGTACAATGAAACTAGGTTTGAAAGAAGCTTACTTACCTGATACTGCATCTGAAGCAGCAGCGGGTGGGGAAGCCACTCCATGGTACCTATCGAACTAGGAACAAAGTCAGCAAAGTATGAGTAAGTTAACAGATATTACTAGTGCGTACCACTCATTCAAGTGACTGCACACCTGCATTGTAGTACCTAGCCTCCCACTTGTCCTTGGCATATGCAAGCTTATAAGTAGGATCGAGGACTGTGTGACAACATATTTAACAATATTTATTTGAGTATTCTTAAAAAACTTACCGAGACAAATGAAATAAGTGTCAGTGTTGTCAACTTTACAATACCATTTATGCAAGTTGTTGATGCCCAAGTGGATGGAGCTTGACACACTACTGAATTTCAAAGACTCAGCCATATTCTCCCATGTCTCTTGAAGAAATTCAAGGACAGGGATTGTACGCCAAACAGTGGGCTCGTGAGTTGCCGAGAATGTTTGCTGGGCATTTGCTGGCTCCTGCAATACATCTTTCATCAATTCAATCTTGGTCCAATCCTGAGCAGTGAGTTTGAACGCCATGTAACTTTTGCCTTGAAGGTCCGGAACTGTCGTCGCTGTCATCAGCAAGCTGGGTGAATCTATTTACACCCTATACAATGTAACAAGTTAGAGTAATTCAGAGTAATTACAAAGACTAACCTTCTGTAAATGCAGCATATGCTTGAGTATCTTGAATATCGAAGCCCAGTGTGTCCGGATCCATTTGAGAAGCTCTAGCATAGGTACATCAACTTCCGTGCAGCATTTGTTGAAGAAAGCATGGGCTTGTGGTGATTTCCAGTATCTGTGGTGCACATAAATCAAGTAGAAATAATATGAAGTGAAAAGGTTGCTACCTGAGTAACGAGAGTGAGGGCCTTGCCAACAGTATCAGCAACATCAAAGGATTCAACTTCACCATCTTCCTCACCAATTTCCCCTTCCATATCTATGCCCGCAAGCTCACTGTTCAACATGTCAATATCTACTTCATCATTCTCACCCATCACATTAGCCATCGCAGCTTTGACTTTATCCAGGAGCTTGTTGCCTAATGTAGGTGACACGCCTTCAACAAAGTGTTTTGCTGCCAAATGGAGAGCATGTTCCATGCAACTGAAAAGGGATGGGTAAGTGAAATCCTCATAGTTGCACACATACTTACGGACACTGATGTTCCATAGGGTCCCAATTCATGCCAGATGGATCAATTATTTTGCCGACAGCCTGAATGACCGTATCATTGTTGGTTGCATTATCAGCAGTGAACCATCCAATCTAATATTAGATTAGATATCATAGTATTTGAATACTATTGTAGTCGCATTTTACCTTTTCATGGATACTGTACTTGTCAATAGTCTCTACTAGGATCTTGCCAATATTAGACCTGCTATAATTGCCCTCAATAGGTACGAAGGCAAGCTGATCAGCATTGAGTTCCCATTTCTGGGGGTTGTCAGGTGGGGCAGAGATGTAATGTGCAGTAACTGATAAGAAGGGATCACCAAAGAGGGAGGTCTATGAATCAAATGTCATCGAGACCTTGCTGTCAATATGCTGGGAAAAAGATAAGTATGATGTGCATACAGCATGTCAAGTAACTGACCTTGAGCCTCTCCTTGACCCACACAACTGCAAGCAGTGCACAGTTCCATAATTTCAGCATGGGTTTTCATGCAGTGGGGTATGTCCATCTCCAAAAGACTGGGCTGAAGGTACTGAAGGAGGCATTGAAATGGGCCCTTATCAACCAGCTGAATCACCTTTAAATCACATCAGTTAATAAAATAGAATAAGTTCAGTAAAGACAAATTGAACCTCATCCTCAGAGACAATCAGCTCAACAATATAGTCCATGAGCCCAGCCTTTGTGAATTGTGGTGGCCTCGGTGTGAGTGCACCATCAAGTGTTTGCTGGCTGTAGAGGATGTATCAGTAATATTAAGTGACTTCGCCATGAAGTGAAAACATATGTCCTTCACCAGAGTTCTTGACATCAGTTGGAATTGCACACTCATGCATGGGAATTCCAGCAGCCTAACAATGACTTTCATAGGTTGGAAAATGCATCTTTCCGTTTCTGATTTACATGTCATATGTCAACATGATGTCATAGTGAAATATAATCATGACTTACCTGGCTATATGGATGCGAAGAGTCGAGATAGAGCCCTTGAAGAAGCACTGGTGCTCAGGAACATTCATAGTGCTGAGGTCCCTAATATTAGAACCCAACTCGTAGATAGAGTAAATAAGCCCTTACCGACACAGTTCATACCACCAACCATCCTCGGCCGCCTTGGTGTGGGGATTTATATGTCCCTTTTCCTGTGTAAATACAGTCCTGATGTCAGATGTACGATCAACTTTCTTGATAGCTGCACAAATCTTTCAAAGTGAAAGTCAGTAAGGGTATCAAGGTATTATTAAGAGAAGAAACACTCACAGCACAATCAGCATCTCCAAAGGTCTTCGTCTTCTTGAATGCTTTGTTGTTATCTTCATCATCTTTACCATTATGGTCGTCACCGTTATAATCGCTGTCACCATCACCATCATTGTTGTCATCAGGGTCATGTGACTCAGTCAGCTCTTCATTGATGTCTTCAACAGCCAGGGCTGTATCTACACATTCAACATGTTTTTGAGCATGGCCTGCAATGGTGGACCCGCTATGTTTGGCTGGAACTATAGGAATGGACTCCCGCACTTTTTCTGAGGGTTTGCTGGTATGGCCAGAGCAATGGGCCCCAGCTATCACAGAAACAGGTGCATGGCCAGAACAGGACAATTGAACAAAAGTGTCCAAGGTATTGCGAGAGGATGAGGCATGAGGGGCAGGTGCAGAGGAAGGGATAGGTACATTGTCATCAACATCATGGAAGAATTCAATTTCTGATGCATCCTTGAGATGCCCATCAGCAGCAACAGCACACCCTGACATAATGGTGGGAGATTGGAGAGAATAATGAGTGAATGCACACATTTTATGCTTCGCAGCACCAGGGAAACACTAAGCATGAAACCAATCATTTCCATCTGCAAAAAGATGATCAACCAAGATCAAACAGCGGTGGGGACCTTCAAGCACGGAGATCAAATGGATCAGACTTACAGGAAATACAAGAACCATGTGAGAAACTGAGGGTGCCATGCTTCGCAGTGCCAGGGTAACATTGAGTGTGAAACCAATTGTTTCCATCTGCAAACAGAAAATCAATGAGAATTGAACAGCGGGACCTTCAAGCTCTGGAATCAAACCAATCAGGGACTTACAGGAATCCCAAGAACCATTGAGGATCATACAACTCCAATGTGAGCAAGGGTCCGAGGAATACTGTTTGACATCAAAGGACATAACAGAGAATGGTTTCAATGTGTTTGGACCCATGCAAACTAGTTCGGCATTATTATTCAGACATAGAACCAGAAACTGGACAGCATGTTTGGTCCTACCTGTCATGTGAATCTGTGACTGAACGTGGGTCACATTCATGCAAGTTCATGTTTGAACTGGAGTTCTGGACTGAACTGCAGCATCACTACTCCAGACACAAGTCTTGTCTTGTTGTCACCTCTGCTCCTCTGCTTCCAACTCAGGGCTGCACTTTAAAACTTCTATCTCTTGTCCTTTCTGCCCAACAAATCCCCTCTACTCTTATTCTTCCTGCCATCTATCAACTTCCCCACTCCAACTGCCTGCTTACTAGTTGGCCTGCTGCTAGTAGTCATTTCCCTTTCTACCCTCAGTTGGACCAAAGGGGTCCTATTGTCCTATTGTCGGACAATGTTGGCTCCACCTCAATTTCAGGGCACATACTTGGCTAAGGGTTCAGTGCAAGAGCTGAAGCCAAGCTCTGACCCCTCCACTTCCTTCTCTGAGCACAGTATCTAACTCCTCCTCCCCCTACCTGTTGCACTCAGTAGTTCAATTTTGACTCAATACTGATTTATCAAAGCATGTTCCTAGTGTTTTATAATCATATAAATCAACTGGAGATGATCTCAGAATCCCTGAAGCTTGTGTGAATTATGATATCTCTGTTTACCTGGTGACCCCCTCAAAGATTAAATTTTCTAGCCTTCCCATGACTTGCCTGCCCTTCAAAAAAAAATTCCAGAGGGCTCTTAGGCCCTCTGAACATTGTGGTGTTCTTCATTTTGCCTGAAAAAATCATGTTCCCGAGATATACAAGGTCCTCCTCCCCCCTCCTGGCTGATATATCTTGCTGTACTCAATTTTAACTTAAAACTAATGCCGTAAATGATGGTCCTGAGGTTTTCAAAGTGTAGGAAATGATTGGTGATGATCCCAGAATATCTGGAGGTCAGAAATATTGAGATATGCCAGGTAGGCTAAAAAATAAGTATTTTGGCCATATCTCCACAACTAGACTACTATTTTCTTTGATTGTTGGCTCATATCATTCCTGGAAGTGCCCTCCATGTTATGTATCAGCCAATCAAGAGAAATATTTTTCAAGTTTAAAATGTATTTCTGAAATGACCCTTATAAATGTTTCAACTCATATGGATAGGTCCATAACCCAAATCGTTAGTGTCCATGACATTGATCTTAGCAAAGCCCATCATAGCACCATCAATCTCCTTCTGAATGTTTTCAATTTCTGTTTGAAATGGAGATTTCTGCACTACTTCAATGATGGACTTCTGAAATTATTGTGATATTAGTTTCTTTGAGCTGAATTGAGTATTTAGCAATACTTGCCAGACCTGTGGCCTTTGCCTTCTTGGATTTCTTCACAGTCTTTGTGATTATGGTCATGTGGGACTCCTGTTCCTGTGTGAATCTGTGAGTTGATCCCTTATTTGAACATATGATGCTTGCCTTGCTGCCTTCTGTAATGATTGTAATGTTCTTGTCTGATTTCTTATGCTTGGTCTGAAGAAAACACTGGTCAGAATGGTTAGCTGGTCATATAAGTTTTGTGATATTTACCTTGGGCTTAGAGGGCAATTTCTTGTTCTTATTCTTCTTGTTCTCATTCTTGTCTGAATCTTCCCCATCCTACATTAAATAAATAATAAATAATCAACTGCTTATTTTCAATAAATTCACATACTCTGTCTTTTCTTCCCTACTTCCAGAGTCAGCCCTTGTGATGAGTGGTGTGTTACTAGCCAAAGTGTCCATGATGAGGGCATGCTGCTTCAACTTGTCAATCAGATCTATGTAAATGTGTCAGTCCAAATAAGCGCTCGAGCACTTATTTTTGCTTGCCTTGATCCATGAACTTGGTCAGCCAAACACCATTTTGCTCCACCTGCTTCTTGCTTTTGTTCAGAACTAGCTGTAATGCATTTCTTTCTTCTTTGTCCTTTGTCTCTGCCAGCACTGACTGGGCCTTGATATACTTCATGTATGATGGTACAATATCACTGAACTCATGCATGTAGGTGCATCTGTGGTTGTCATTATACAACAGCATCTTCACTCCAGAGGCTTTGCTTTCCTCTGTCCATTCAATATTGTTGTAGTATTGCCCTAGTCGAAGGGGCTCTAGAGAAGAAGGGACTATTAATAAGCATTTCACTCCTATGATGATGGCATGTTCACTGCTGCAGTTTAGAAGTCCATGCTTCTTCATGTCTGCTTCTAATTGCTTGGGTAAGAAATAAGTGCTTGAGCACTTATTTTGAAAGCATGTCTGAACTCACCACTTCATCCTTTGCCTGGCTTTGACCAGTCTTGGTGGGTAAGAAATAAGCACTCAAGCACTTATTTTGAGGCATCTAAACTTACTGTTTTTTTCTTTGTAAACTAAACATTGTATATCAGAATAAATTAATTTGATTTTTGGACTTACATCTTGGGCATTCTGATTGTTTGTCTTTGTTTGGTGTATTTCCAAAACAGGAAGGTAGAGGTATGAGTTTAAGTTGTGCATTGACATAGCCATAGCTTGCTGACTGTATATATAATACCAGGGACAAAATAAATACAAATACTAGACTGTGGGAATTTTTAAAAATAAAACAAAGTCTTAGTAGTAAGAGTCTGGACTGTATATGTAATATAAGAGACACCCAAGTACAAATTGAATGACCAATAATAGACTGTGGGAAATTTAAAAAACAAAAACAAAGTTGTAGTACTATTCAAGGAGAGTCTGTAAGTGGTCTTGCAGCATGATGTAGTAAGATCTAAAAGAGATATGAGCAAAATACTTGAAGAACATTAGTGCATGCATCTGATCCCATGGTCTAGTGCCACCAGTAATGTCCTGTTCTGATGCTTTGTGAATATAAGCGCTCGACTGCTTATTATGAGGTTACATTGGGCAATCAACATGAACATATGCTATCCACTACTGCTTTTGTCCCAGCCATTCTTCTACATACCACAGTAGCAAGTCCATTCCATTGCTGTGTTGTCCCATCACCAGTCTTTTCATAAGCCAGTTCATAAACACTTTTGTATTCTTCTGTCAATCAATCTTGAACCATTTTTGGCTGTCTCTTGAAGTGCTGAATATCTGAAAATTCCCAATGCTAAAGGAATTAAGATGTCTGGCCACTTGCAGTTTGTCTGTCCTATTACTAGAGGCCCATGGAGCTCATCACCACATGTTGGTACATGGCATTTCTAACAGATCCCCTTGTGATGATTGTATCTGATTGTGTCCTGACTTTCTTGCTGGATTTTCCATTGCCAGACATTAGGCAATGGCATGGGTAACCCATAGGTATCCACAAGCTTACCCACACCTGTACCCACCACTTACCTGCACCCATGGCCCAAGGGTATGCTCAGGTATGTGTTTTGACAAAGGCATATAAGGGTATGATGGGTATATAACCTGTGGCAAGTAACCCATTGTGGGATGTCAGTCAGCAATGACCTAGTATTTCCTTACTGTGTGAACCATGTGCAACTCACATTGCCACTTGCCATCCATTCCAGTCCTGCTCAACCTCTCAGTGATTGAACCCACACTTGTGCGCACAGACATGGACTATGAAGAGAGTCAGCTGACCTTTAGATGCACTCAACTTCAATCAGCCATGTGCATTCCTTGTCTTTCTAGCTTGCTAATTGTCTGTCAGCCCTCATATCTATCTATTCTTATTCACTTGTGTATAGTACATGTTTCTATGTTGTTCCTAACAATTCTAGGCTTTGTTTCCTCTTATATTACTTATTATGTCATTCTAAATGACTCAGACAGACTACACAAGTATTACCCTTATCTACTTCACTTAGACTTACAAATGTTGCACTTGCACCTCTAGTGTGCCTCAAGACAGTTTGAACATTCCTAGTGATTTTATCCCCTTGTTACTTGTCCTATAGCTGATCCATACTTAAGTAGTGTGTGCCTCTTGTTGAAAGCCAGTTAATTCTCACTCAAAAGCCATATCTTTTGTTTTCCTCTCTCTCTCAATTGTCCTGTGCACTCCCTTAAAGTCTCCTATTCATCTTCAACCCTTGTCAGAAGTCTTCTCTATCCATTGTTTGATTGGCCAACTTTACAGTCAGTCAATCTTGTCTTTGTTCAACTTAGAGTGATCTATATTAGCTCAAACACTTTGACTCATTGCTGCACCCCTCGTATTTTATACAAGGGTTGTGATTTGGTTTGGTTTGTTCTGCTTCCCTTGGGTCAAACTAAACAATATAGGTCTTACAACTACTTGATCAGCTGCAGTTGTGCTAAGATCATGGTAGTTTCTATAACCCACACTGTGACCCACATATTCATGTAGATACATATTTATGTAGGTACAATGGATGTCAGTAGTATCAACACAATAATGACTAAATCTTGATAGCATCCCAGCTGTTGACCAATTGATCTTCCTCACCATTGACATCATTCAACACAGCAACTATTTTGACATTGTCATCTTGCACCAATCCCAACTGGCTCCAGATCCCAACACACAGCAAGGCCCAAGTTGTCTGTGAACATGCAAGAGCAGCAGCCACCTGTGACTAAAAATACATTTGACATCAATGGACATGGCTGGTGTTAATGTGAGTAGCAGTATTATAAAAAACCAGGAGAAAACACACTTAGAATTGTCAGATAATCAAGCACCATGCAGAAGAGACACAGATAAGTTTTTTGGTGCTTGTGCCACCACACAATGATGTTGGGGACATGCTTGCACTTTGTGCTGAAGTATGCAGTAACTTTATCTAAAGAGACCAAGTTCTTAGGAGCTGTAAGAGCTGGGACATGTTGTCTTTTTTTATGCCTGTGAGAGTACATCAATGCTCACAATTATGATTGAACAATATTAGACATACCTTTTGAACCTGTGATTCATGCACACTATACACTGACTCTCCATCCACTGAACCAATTGGCATGTCAGCATATGTGAAGTCAAAATTGTGGCACACAAGGTTAGAGGCAGTCTGAATCCATTCTGGCTCCTATCCAGCTGTCTTGAAGTAGTTGAGTTTGTGACACAGATGAAGCACTTTAAAGGGAGTAGTATCAGTATAGTGGATACCACAGAGTAAATTAAAACTTACCCATTTCCATGCAGTCTGTTTGAGAAGAGTGGGAATAGTACCTGTCCAAGGTTTTCTTGCCAACAGTGAGAGTAGCATGAATGGTGGTATTCAAGTTCTTGTTGGAGGGATGGGTAGTGAGTGATTTGTCAATGTGATCAATGTCTGGGATTGCAGTAGCAAGGTTTGGTGTGGAATGGGACAAGTAGGTGGTGGTATCCTTCAAGATCTGTATTGGTGTAAGCTTGAGGAATTAATAAATAAGGACTGCTTGACTTACCACTGTTAAGATTGTGCTCAAGGGGAGGAGAACTCAAAGGGCTTGGCTTCAGCTTGTGTGCTGTGCCCCTGTTAGGAACTGTGCTCAGACAGAGAAGTGGAGGGGTCGGGGCTTAGCTTCAGCTCTTGCGCTGTGCCCTTAGCCAAGTACATGCCCCAAATTTGGAGCAGGACCGAGAATGTCCAATGATAGGATGTGCAGACCACTTTGGTCCACTTTACAGGTCAGGAGGTAAGAGCTACTAGTGGTGGTCCAACTAGAAGCAGAGCAGGGGAAGCAGAGGAAGTGCATTGGGGCGGAGGGGAGCAGGAGGATTGGTTAGCTAGGTCAGAGAAGTAAGAATGAATACTTTAGAGCACTGCTCTAAGTCGGAGCAGAGAATCAGAGGTGACGACAAGGTAAACTTGTGTCTGGAGAGAGCAGAGTCCTACAGAGTATTCCCACTAGTAGAGACTGCAGGAAGACCAGTAATATTAAGACTGAGGAGTAGCTAAATACATGGTATGTTTTATATACTTCTAAGTAGGAGGCAGTGACCAGTAGTCCTTGGTATGAGGCTATGTACCAAGTATACAATTTGTAAGTATTAACACAGGTGAAAACATAAGTCAGAGCGGATATCAATATGTACGTGTTGGATCAGTAGTCAAGCGGTTATAGGAAGTACCAGTGATCTGGGAAGTAAGTTTTTATGTGTCAACGGGGAAAGTATATACCTAAATGGGGAAAGAGGTTCCAGTGGAGTGGAGACGATACAGAAGGTAACCAATGAGGCAGTCGAGCGGGAGCATAGGAGCTGATGCAGGAGCCGACTGGATCAAGTGGAGGGTGGATGGAGCGGAGGTGACAGGAAAGTGGGCGGGGTGTAAGGTCAAGCGGAGCAGATATCAATATCATTGGAGCGGTTGGATCAGGTATATAACAGCCCCTTACCCAAGTACATGCCCTTAATTTCCAAGAGGTAGGAGAGAAGTCTGATGGAAGTCTGGGTAAGTCCAGAGGTCAGACATAGGGGGAGTTTGGTGGAACTCCAGAGGGTCAGTGTTAGAAGCTAACACACAGAACACACTCAGTGTTGGGAGACAACAACTACACATTATGAATACCTAACACACAGAACACGCTAGAGAGAGTATTGTAAGAGACGGCGGGACAACAAGAAATGAAAGAACATACCTCAGTGCTGGGAGACAACAACTGAGGTATGAGGAAATGAAATGATGCGTATTATATATGTGAATGCACATGATAGAGTAGAAAAGGAAATGTATGGTGTGCAATGACAACGATGATGATTCAACACACCCCCACAACAAGACATTGTTGCAATTAACGAGAGACGAGAGAGAGGCCACATTGATGATGAAGATACAGAGGGCGAGGAAGACATTTGGTGAATATATCAGCAACATTCTTGTGAGTGGAGAGCCATTCGGGTTTGAATGTGCCATCTTCAATGTGCACGCGAATGAAGTGGTAACGGAGATCAATATGCTTAGTGCAAATATGATTAGCAGCTTCCTCCAACAAGGCGATGGCCCCGGCATTATCAGCAAAGATGTGAAGCGGTAAGGCAAGAGGGATTTTCAGATATTCAAAGAATGAAGCGAGCCAGAGGCCATCCTGAATGGCCACAGTGAGAGCCATATATTTGGCTTCAGTGAAGGAGAGTGCATGGGTGAGCTGCTTTTTAGACGAGTGCGAGACGGGACCTCCATTGAAGAACCAAACATAGCTTGAGATAGAAATGCGGTCTTCAGGGTAACTAGCCCAGTCTGAACCGCTGAAACCGTGGAGCTCCGACATTGCAGCTGCACCCCCATAGTGCATGTGAAGGCCAATCGAGCCAGTGAGGAACCAAAGGACATGTTTTGCTGCTGTGTAATGATGAGGTTCTGGGGAGCTGTTGTGTTGAGTGGTTTTCATGACAGCAATGGCTATGTCGGGACAAGTGTACATGGCAAGGTAGAGTAACTCTCCAACAAGCTTACAATATTTGGTAGTGAGATTCTCGATGTGAGGGTGAACATCGGTATCACGACCAAATGGGAAGTGAGGATCCATAGGGAGAGTGATGGAATTGCATCCAAGCATGCCATGCTCCTCAAGGAGACAGGTGATATAGTCCATCTGATGCATCCAGAGCTCGCACATCGTCCAGTTCCGCTCGAACTGAATGCCGAGATGTTTTGATACTGGACCAAGGTCAGAGATACCGAATCGTTGTGCGATCTGTTGCTTGATTTGACACAGGAACAGGCAGTTGCTAGCGGCTGCGAGTCCGTCATCCACATGCCAAGCTATAATGCAAATGACTCTCTCCCCCTCACTATTGACGTGATCATACACAAAAACAGCATAATCAGCCTCCACACGAAGAAAGTCCAGACAAGTCAGAACTTCTCACAAAAGTTCATACTAATTGTAGGCTGCCTGTTTCAGGCTGTATAGTGATGACAGGAGGTGGCAAACGAGTGATCTGATATCAGGTGTAAAGCACTCAAACCCAGGTGGTTGGCGCATGTACACGTCCTCTGTTAACTTTCCCCACAGAAAGGCACACTTTGCATCAAATGCATCAAGCTCCCAATTGTTGCATGCAGCGAGTGTGAAGATGACCCAAATAGAAGCTGCCTTGGCAACCAGTGCAAAGGTCTTACCGAAGTCAATGCCTGGCACCTGAGAGAATCCCTGCGCCACAAGGCGAGCTTTATAGATCGACCCGCCTTTCAGGTCTTCCCGGAACTCAAGGACCCATTGGCAACCAATCACCTTTCAATTGTCAGGGAGGGGAACAAGTTCATAAACCTTCATCTCCGACATCAGATTCATCTCCCACTTCATGGGGGCAAGCCAGAAATCCTGATCAGAACAATGCATGGCCTCATCATAAGTATTAGGAGGAATCTTCATGTTGTAGCCAGGAGCCTGTGGATTATGATGAGAGTCACTGAGGATAGAGATGCAGGCCTGTTTGGTGACAATGAGATTGGCAATGACATGAGGGAAGCCTACAGTCTCAGAATCAGGACAAATTGCATCGCCATCAAGGGCATCATTGTTGGTAAGAGGATGGCAGGATGTGGGGAGAAGAGCAGGACAAGGAAGAATGGGGATTGGGGGTACAGAGGCATTGGGGTCATTAGCAGGAGGAATACCTTGGATGTGAGCTTGCCTCAGGTCTCGCTGACGGTCAAGATGAGCTGCATCTGCAGTGAGCTGTTCCCGGTATTGTCATCCACGCTCAGTAGGCTGTTGAACTCTACCAGATTGACGAGAAGGAACAACTGGTCCAGGAGCAGGAGGGTCGAAGACATCTGGGCATGGTGCAGCATTATTGTTGTTGTCATCATCATTGCTATCATCAGGAAAGGGGTGGGAGGAGAAGGATTCATTGAAGATGACATCGCGGGAGTTGAAAAATGTGCCAGTGATGGAATTGCGACAATGCCAAGCTTTGACTCCTGGTGGATAACTGTCACGAATTCCAAACACAAATCATTTTTCATTCCTCGGCTTTCCTCTGGTTACTTCTAGTTACCAAACCAATCACGTGACTTCACTGCCTGTCACATCTTCACCTCTTCACATATCACCTGTTGTTTCTCTGATTGGTTCCCCTACTCCACGGGCTAGAACAATCTTGCTTCCGAAAGAAGTACTGGTCGGATCTTGGGTTTCTGTTTAGTCACCATCTTACTCACCACTTATATATCACGATGTCATGATCAGTCATCCGCAGTATTGTATGACTCTTTTCTCATTGGTTGATTTCTTTCATACTCAGATATCTCCTATTCAATGTTATGTATATAAGAAGGTTAGTTAGTGTAAGTACTACTCAGACTTAACCTCTTCATTTCCACACTGGTAGTAGACCTAGATGTTCACGCTCAATACTATCTTGTTCATCATCATCCCTCTTGACTGAGTCCTAGTGGTTGTGTGTTAGTCTTTACCATTTGGTGAACGCTAGTCATAACAATAACCCATAAACACTGCCTTGCGAGATCGTGGCCCTAGTTTTTCCTGTAACTCAGCAGGGATACACACAAAGCATTGTGCACCAAACACCTGAAGGTGTGAGACATTGGGCTTCGTGCCATGCAGCATTTCATAAGGTGTCATACTGTTAAGACCGTGCTCAGGGGTAAAGCGGAGTCTGAGGGGCTTGGCTTCAGCTTGTACGCTGTGCCCCTTACCCGAGTACGTGCCCCTAATTTTGGAATGTAGTCCAACATGAATTCTATGGGTTCTGACAGGATGTCGGAACGGAGGTCCTCTGAAGGAGGACCGACGGACTACTAGGTGAGTGCAGGAAAGTCAGGCGGGGGTTGTTCCACCCGACAGGAGGGAGGCGGGAGACTATTGTGGTTGAAACCAACAGTAGAAGCGGAGCAGAAGGAACTGCTTGGATGAAGTCTGAAGCAGAGCAGAATGGAGGGGATGGATGTGAGAGTGTGGGGTCTAGTTCCGACGCACAGGAAGTTGGAGGAGCGGAGGCGGAGGAATGGGGGAATGGGGGAATGGGGGAACGGGGGAACGGGGGAACGGGGGAACAGAGGATTGGAGGATTGGAGGATTGGAGGATTGGAGGATGGCCAACCTAGGGAGTCAATCCCCTAGGCCGGCTTAACAGGAGTTGACTAGGATCAGGCCCAAGTCAAGAAACAGAAGAGCAGGGCTTAGAAAAGGTAATATTCAGACTGAGTATCTACAGACAAATGTACATAAGTTTATATACTCTAAGTGATGAAAATAGCATAGCAGAAGGCTATGTGCTGAGTGTACAGAATTACAATAGGATGACTGAGACATACGAGAATAAGGCTCAGGGAACAGTATGTACGTGACAGATCAGAATCGCTAGGGTATAGGGATTACCAGTGATCCGAAAAGCGGAACTATGATACTAAACGGGGATAGGACCAGTTGAGTGGTTCCTAGTCTAGGAG